GACTGGCAGCCATTTTCTTAAAGAATTCAGTTCTGGATCCGTATCCAAGACATGTCTGGATTGATCAAGTTCAAACTTCACACACACATGGTACATCATGTCACAAATAGATATGTGCATTTCTTTCATGATCCGCTTAACAATAGCTGAATGATGGCCATTTTAAGGCCGAAAATGCATTAAAATCACGTATTTTCACAATTCCGAAACCAGATCTCAGTCATGCATGGATGGATTTTGTTCAGATTTAGTACAATGTGTTGTACATATGCAGGTGCATTTCGGTCATGATCTGCTTTGAATGTATATGTCACTCAATTATGAACGGAACGGGGACGTGTCATTGACAATGACTTGTTTCTCAAAAAACATTGCATTCTATTGTTTTTCTACATGTTAACATGGATTTAATTTAGCAAATTTTACTTATTTGCAAAAATAACGAAATTAAACACAACTGAATAATTAATTCTGGTCAATATTCTCGCAATTTAAAAATAGTGGCCATTATAATGGCCATAAGTAACATTTTAAAGGGGTCTTAGGGGTGAAAAAACAGTGTTAAAGGGAAATAAGAATTACCGTATTATAACCTCAAAAAGTACAAATTAAGACTCAAAAGCTGTGAAAACTTTCCAAAACGCGACAGAATTTCCGAAAATAATACGGAAGCTGTTTAATTCTTTTACAGTATTTAATGAGTTGAGGGCAACCTCTAGTGACTGAGTTTTGGTTTTGATGTATAGCCGTCTATCTTTAGAAAGCAATAATTTCAATATTGCAAATGACGAAATTACAACATTTCTTTCTTCTATCTACTTCATTTTGACGTCATAAAAGAACTGTCAATAGAGGGTGTAATTCATAGGAAAGTTGTGAGAAAAATTGCAAGACTAGAGCGAGAAGACTTGGTATTATTCTCATCTATATCAATTACAATTATCATATTAAAATTTTTGCAGTTTCATTTTCCAGTTATAATTTATTGAACAAATGGTAAAAACTCGTCATTAAATTGATAAGAATTTGGATTATCGCTAATGAAGCAGTAAGAATTTGGATACTGTAAATTGTAATGCAAGAAAGTGTCTATTTCACATTCCAGTATTTTATTTTTTAGTGGTAGTGCATGGTATCCATATTTGTTCATTTCCAGGGAAAATTTGATGATGCCATTTCGTGTTACACAAGGTGCATTCTGCTAGACAATAAACAAGTTGTTAGTTTCACAAACAGAGCTTTATGTTATCTGAAATTAAACAAGGTAAGTGGAAACCTTACGTCATTCGAATTTATGTAATGCTCATGTACTGGATTGTGCCGTAAATTATCCTTAGGCTGTTGAATGCCAGTTTGGGTTTTAAAAAAAAATAAAATGGGACCAAGAAATCGCGATTTTTCAACTGTTTTTTAAGGTTTTTTTTTCAATATTTTAATGTAATTTTTTGGACATTTCAGTTTTTTCAGACGCCTAACATAGTCTACATAATATACTTTCGTTACGAATAAAATTTAAAAAAATAATTGTATTTGGCGTACCAGGTTTGTTAAATGTGATTTTCCCACTTAAGTGGATTTTTCAATGAAAATAGAAGTCCCCCAAAAATATTTGATGATAATTTTTTGAAACGTGATTTGCGGCAGAATCCGGTATATACAAGGATCAACACAGAATGCCATGTTCTCGTCCTGATGTTTGTTGAACATGAATGTTATTTTCATGAGTGATACAGTGTATCCTGGGACCGAATTTTAGGAGCAAGTTTAGTGAAAGTACAGCATGGATACACCATATCAAAGAATAAATGTGACTTTTATTGATAGCAAAACCCCAACTGAGATTTGACTGGTTCAGGCACCAATTGTCATTTCTCGGAATACAATACTGTGCACCATTGTCATTTCCCAGACACCTGATTTGACCTTTATCTTGACTATATCTTACCAAAAACCCAAATTGGTATGAACATCACACGCGCATTACAGATACATGATATTACAAATTTAATTGGAAATGGCTGGCTGGTTGCCATATTGTATTATTTGCCATATGTCCAGTGTTTTAGTTACTCATTACTGACTCGTTACTGTATCTTTTTGTCCAGCAAATTTGTTTTCATCCAAGTTGCTGTCCTTAACTGTTTTTATGACTCACTGGACTGATTTCAATTGATTCGTTGTGAATATCATGGTGTTTTTCCTTTCTTTTTATTTTAAATCATAATGATCCTTTTGTTTGCAGCCGGACCTCGCAGAAACAGACTGTTGCACAGCTCTGGAACTGGAAGAAAACAATGTCAAAGCATTGTTTAGGAGAGCACAAGCTAGAAAGGTGAGTGTCAGTGAAATGTTGAAGAAAACAATGTCAAAGCATTGTTTAGGAGAGCACAAGCTAGAAAGGTGAGTGTCAGTGAAATGTTGAAGAAAACAATGTCAAAGCATTGTTTAGGAGAGCACAAGCTAGAAAGGTGAGTGTCAGTGAAATGTTGAAGAAAACAATGTCAAAGCATTGTTTAGGAGAGCACAAGCTAGAAAGGTGAGTGTCAGTGAAATGTTGAAGAAAACAATGTCAAAGCATTGTTTAGGAGAGCACAAGCTAGAAAGGTGAGTGTCAGTGAAATGTTGAAGAAAACAATGTCAAAGCATTGTTTAGGAGAGCACAAGCTAGAAAGGTGAGTGTCAGTGAAATGTTGAAGAAAACAATGTCAAAGCATTGTTTAGGAGAGCACAAGCTAGAAAGGTGAGTGTCAGTGAAATGTTGAAGAAAACAATGTCAAAGCATTGTTTAGGAGAGCACAAGCTAGAAAGGTGAGTGTCAGTGAAATGTTGAAGAAAACAATGTCAAAGCATTGTTTAGGAGAGCACAAGCTAGAAAGGTGAGTGTCAGTGAAATGTTGAGGATATTGCAACACTTGAAACCCTGATTGTACATTGCAAGTCTGAAGATGTATGTATTACACATGGGGCCACAGAGTTGACTAGTTTGTATGAACTATATTTGTGGTTCTCACTAGAATTACTACTACACTGTATCACTACTATTATTATTATTATTGTGTATATTATTTATTGTATATTTTCTGGTGAAATAAAAACAATAACAACAACTGTTAACTTTTGGTGTTTGGTTCATAACTGCAACATCTTTCAGTGGCAACTCTTTCTAATCATATGAATGCACCTAACACAGTTGACATAACAAGCAATGCAGCATTCTTAGTGCATGTGCTTGACAAGAATTCCCACAAGTCCTTGGCTGTTAAATTTAACTGTAAGCTGCATATCCTACTTAATTTAACTTGTATTTTTTCTCTACATTTCAGATGATGAAACAGTACAAGACCAGTCTACAAGATTTGACAGTGTTATTAAAAATAGAGCCACAGAATAAAGCTGCCAAGAGTGAATTAGATGCTGTTAAGGAATTTTGGAGAAAGGTATAAAAACACACTGCATTCACTTTGAAATCATAAATACACCAAATTATTAATAATATTAATAATTTTATTAACACTTACACATTCCCCGGAGGGATTGGCAATGGTTACAAAAGTTTAAGAAGGAATACAAGGTTACAAAACAGTAAATAGATAAAATAAAAAAGCTATTAAAGCTAATACATTACACATTATAATGTGGGCTACCCGGTACATGTGATAGTACAGTTTATGTCATAAAAAAAGGGCTTTCTCAGTATAAGAAAATGAGGTTATTACGAGAATACCTCTAAGTATGCACGAAGGCAGTACAGCTGGAGTATTGACCGAAGTGCAGCTGAGGTCGATGTTCGGCGTACTGTCTGAGTGCATACTTTGGGGTATTCTCGTAATAACCTTATTATTATACATCTTTTCTTTCCAAAGATACATCATGGGGGAATGCCGAAATCCCCAAAATTTAGAACAGAATCAGCGATCTTCCTTGAGTGGAGTACGGTCAAACCCTGGTGGCAGCCATGTTTGTTTGTACACTTACGCACGTAATCATTCCATATTTGGAATTCGCATTTCCTTATATGGTAGGATGAAAATACCCTGTAAAATACCGCAAAATTATGGCGTTACGGTGACATGTATAATAATAATTGTTACTTTGTATATCAATGGCTGCTTGGTTACTAGGAATTGAGAGAAGCTCAAGAGAAAAAGACAACTGAAGCGCAAGCTGAGAAGACTAAATCTAAGAAAAAAGAACCAGAAAAAACTAGAAAAAAGTTGGTGATACAAGAGGTTGATAGCAGTAGTGAAGAAGATGAAGAGGTATTAAATTAAATCACTTACTGATTAGCATAGTTTAGAAGTTGTTACGTTGTTTTAGTAAAGTCTTAACAGCAGGTGCTGACTTTTATCCTAATTAGTATGTCACAGACTCAATGGGGAGGTCAAAGCATAAGACTTGTATCCTAATAGGTTAATATGTACATTTACTTGTGTTTACCTGGGTTGATGAAGGAAGCTTTTGTAGCCTTCATGTTCTAATTATGGATTACAATTTCTGTGTGCAAAGATAGATCACTCCATCAGAAAACTGAATTTGGGGTACATAAATTCAATAAAATACCATTTTTAGCTTGACTTTGTCGAGCAGAGCTTATCATATGAGTGATTGTCTCCGTAGTCCATGTCAACTTTTTACTTTCTTGACTTCTTCTTAAAAACTACAATTCTTATTGCTTTGATACTTGTTGTAGGCAGACCTCTCTCAGATTTGTTCATTTCATGATGATATCTTCAATTCTCTAAATTTGATGAATATTTTTGTCATTTTTGGTAAAAAGTGATATTTTCGACTTCTTGTTGAAAACAGCAAGTCCGATTGCTTTTATACTATACATATAGGTACTTCAGGTAGACCTCTCTCAGATTTGTTCATTTTCTGATGATTTCTTCAGTTCTTTAATTGAAATGTGCATTGCTAACAGCAAGAGACTGCTTGTAATAAAAAAGATATAAATATGACTTTTTTTTCAGGAACAACTGAAAGAAAAGAAAACTGACAAAAAAGAAAAACCAAAGTCATGTAAATCAGATAAGTGGAACGATGAGCATAAAAAAACAGGAGTACAGACTTCTCCCCAGGAAGCTAAACAGACATTATCCAATGACTCTAAACGCATGACATCTCCTGAAAATAAACAGAAATCACCCCTCGAACAGAAACGAACATCGCCACCTGAAAATAAAGGAACATTCCCAAATGAACATAAACAGACATCCCCGCCTGAACATAAACCGACATCACCTCATGAAACGAAACATGTGCCACCCTGTGACAAAAAACATGCGTCACCTCGTGAACAAGAAGCAAACAAACCACCCGTATGTAATGAGCCTAAAAAGGAGGAGGCAGCCATACCAACACGATCAGAAAAAGCTGAAGAAAAACGGAAAGACCAGTCTGTGGCTGAAACTACTGGTAAAGGTAAAAGGAAGAATAGAAAGCGTGGTAAACAACAACAAAATGGTACAACTCAAATAGATCCACAGCTTAATAAGGTATGTGTACAAATTAAAAATACCTCCAGCTTAATAAGGTATACAAATCAAATGAATCTGTAGCTTATTAAGCTATGTGTATGAATTAAATGTATCTATAGCTTAATAAGGTATGTGTACAAATCAAATGTATCTATAGCTTAATAAGGTATATGTAGGAATGAAGTGGATCTACAATAATAAGACATGTGTAGAATTCGAATGATTTCACAGTTTAATAAGATAGGATAAAATGATTCGGAAATAAAGGTAACTATTCACTGTATATACCC